CAGAGAAACCACCCTGTTAGATTCTGCCACAGTCAAAATTCCAACAAGGTTGCCAGTTGTAAACAGTCTGAGAGCAACCAGACAACAGATCTCAAAGCTCAGCTGACACATACAGACGCCCAGGGCCGAGCCACCATGGTGGATGTCGGGGGGAAACTTCCCACATGTCGAACAGCCATAGCCTGCGCCACCGTTAGCTTAGGCCCCACCGCCTTCCGCCTGCTTCGAGATAACCAGCTGGCCAAGGGCGACGCCTTGACTGTGGCGCAGTTGGCTGGCATCATGGCTTCGAAGCAGACCTCCACCCTCATCCCCCTCTGCCACCCTTTACCCTTAGACCACACCTCTGTCGCATTTCACCTCGATGAGCTTCTTAATGCCGTCGTCATCACAACGACATGTCGCACCACGGGCAAGACGGGAGTGGAGATGGAGGCTCTGACCGCTGCTTCTGTAACAGCGCTCACCGTCTACGATATGTGCAAGGCGGTGAGCCATGACATCATCATCACGGATATAAAACTGATTAGTAAGACAGGCGGGAAAAAGGACTTTCATCGTCATTCAAAACAGGAAGAATGAGATCAAAGACTGCACTATGGTTTTCCACAAATTAAACTTTGTGCCATCGATGAAAAACACATGCTTTTGGGCAGTTATCTCTCCTAGTCTGAATCATTTTGTCTAATATGTAATTTACTGAAGTTCTATCAATATTTTCAGTGTCATAATTCCTGCTTTTCCCTCCAGAGGGTGCACAAGTATTACATTTATAGTCCTCCCTGGAGGTTTTTGGAGTGAAGAAGAAACTGATTGCAGATGGCACTGATGATGTGCTTTTAAATTTGAAAGAATTTAATTTATGAAAGTTGAAAACTGAACATGAACAAAAGAACAGAGCAGCAAACGTTTCAGTGCATATCCCAGTCAGTCCCATACTCGCTTGCTCTTTTTCTTAACTTGCTTTTTATTGCAGTGACTAACACTACGACTATGATTGTTTTAACCTTGCATTTTTTTAGATAATTATGATATGAAATTTTAGTTTTGATGTTTTTCTACCTACCTCTGTAGTACACTGCAAACTAGATTTGTACTACATGAAAGTAGAGGATGGTAGTAAAATAAACGTATCAAATGACTGATAACACAAATAACCCGTTACACAGTACATTAACCCATTATTGCTCAATATGTTGTTAAAGTCTGTGTTCCTGTAACTTCCCTCCACGTGTGTGCTGACTGTACCAGCCGTTTTCTTTTGTTTTTGAAGATTATTATGATTTTCATTGGTTGCATTAACTGTGCATTCACTTCACATCATCACACATCTCTTTTTTTAAAAATGAAGTATGGCATGTTTTGTGTTCATTTCCCCCTCAGAGAATGGCAGTATTCTCCGGTTATATCATAACGTTCGTGCACTGGATATAACAGTGACTAATGTGTGACTGCACAGGGTGGTTCCACTCTGGTTACAACACACAGCTTGTTCCATTATGTTTTTCAAGTTATTAAAGAAACACTAAAAGGGACGGTCCTGGTATTTTTGGCCTCGAAGTCTTATGTTTCACAGCTTGTAAAGTTAATGCCTTACTACTTATTATAGCAGGTTTATAAGGACAAACTGAAATGAAGGAGTCTTGGTTTTCTGACTGCATAGATATCAAAGCTCATCTTGTACATGGCTTGATTCCCAATCTGTAACTAGTCTATAGCTCATTCCCTTCTTCCGAATGTTGGAACGCTGCAGCTACAATCACTGTTTTTCTGTCAATGTGGATGAAAATTCCATCATCCTATTCATGTAGCAGTTCGCTATTTTCGTCTCTTGCCCCCCGAGTCTCTGGTTCCTCAACACCTGACGTGGACCTCTCATATTAATGATTCTGATATGGTTGTTTTTGACGAGTTATTTAATGTTAAAGAAAGGGCGTGTGTTACCAAGTCATCTGGAGTCCTCATTGCATACACACACTTATGGATGAAAATTCCATCATCCTATCCATGTAGCAGCTCGCTATTTTCATCTCTGGTTCCTCAACACCTGACGTGGACCTTGTTGTAGTTCTCTCTCTGCGTTAGGCTTAGTTAGCAAGGACCTTTACTGGATACAAACACTGCAGGTGAGAATCAAACCTGCAACTCCTATTTCAAAGGCATGGAGTCTTACCACTACACTGTCCAGCTGCTTTTATTTCTGCTTTTATTTCTGTTTATTCATATATACATATATATATTTATATTGTAACAGGGAGAGTATATGAAATAAGATCTGCCTAAATAAAATGACATATGTTACATTAAAAATAGAAAAGATGTGTGATAAAGGTAGGCCTAGCCTGCCTCCAAACAGCTGAGAAAGAGGGAAGGCAAAATTGACACAACACACAGACAAGAGAGTGTAGTAGTGTAGAGTAGTGGTTAGACTACACGTCTTTGGAGCAGAGGATCGCAAGTTTGATTCCCACCTGGAGTGTCTGTGTCCAGTAAGGGTCCTAAGGCTAGAGTAGACTAGAACTCCCTAGAGTAGAATAGACTAGATCAACAGGGTCCGCGTCAGGTGTTGAGGAACCAGGGCATCCTGACAAGAAGGGAGGTACAAATTAAATGCTACGGCAAGGGGGAGCCAGGACGCTAGGTCAGGGGCAGTTATCATCACCCCCACCCCCATATTAGGTCTGCTAGTTGGTGATGTTAATGCAGCACTGTGTACAATATCTATCGAGACTAACTAGATCACTACAATAGGGCAGCAGTAATCAGTGAGATGCTTGGCTAGAGGCTAAGATCAGGGTAGCACAGAGCGAGGTTGCAGAAGTACAGGAACCATACCTGAGATATGCCAAGCAACAACTACAAATCCACTGGACTCTGAGACCATCATGAAAACTACACCAGAATAAACCAGCTGTTCTCCACAGGAAGTGTCAGTAACACCAAGGCTGGAGATGGAACCCTAAAAAAGACTTGGACCACAGAACCAAGAACCCATATGAAGAGGGTCAGTGGTCTGGCCCTCTTTTTCCAGAGCACACTATCATCATAGTGTTTCATCTCCAGCCTTGGGAACTGTGGAGAACAGCTGGTTTATTCTGGTGTAGTCTTCATGATGGTCTCAGAGTCCAGTGGATTTGATCTCTCTGGTGTAATTGTTGCTTAGCATATCTCAGGTATGGTTCCTGTACTTCTGCAACCTCCCTCTAGCCAAGCATCTCACTGATTACTGCTGCCCTATTGTAGTGATCTAGTTAGTCTCGATAGATATTGTACACAGTGCTGCATTAACATCACCATCTAGCAGAGCTAATATGGGGGTGGGAGTGATGATAACTGCCCCTGACCTGGCGTCCTGGCTCCCCCTTGCCGTAGCATTTAATTTGTACCTCCCGTCTTGTCAGGATGCCCTGGTTCCTCAACACCTGACCGGGACCCTGTTGATCGCTTAGCAGGGGGGAGTTTTAGTCTACTCTAGCCTAAGGACCCTTACTGGATACAGACACTCCGGGTGGGAATCAAACTTGCGATCCTCTGCTCCATAGACGTGTAGTCTAACCACTACTCTACACTACTACACTCTCTTGTCTGTGTGTTGTGTCAATTTTGCCTTCCCTCTTTCTCAGCTGTTCGGAGGCAGGCTAGGCCTTTATCACACATCTTTTCTATTTTTAATGTAACATATGCCATTTTATTTAGGCAGATCTTATTTCATACACTCTCCCTGTTACAATATATATATATATATATGTATATATGAATAAACAGAAATAAACACAGAAATAAAAGCAGCTGGACAGTGTAGCGGTAAGACTCCATGCCTTTGGAATAGGAGTTGCAGGTTTGATTCTCACCTGCAGTGTTTGTATCCAGTAAAGGTCCTCACTAACCAAGCTTAACACAGAGAGAAAACTCTAACAAGGTCCACGTCAGGTGTTGCAGAACCAGAGACAAAAATAGCAAGCTGCTACATGAATAGGATGATGGAATTTTCATCCATAAGTGTGTGCATGCAATGAGGACTCCAGATGACTTTATATTTCTGTAAGTCTTGGTAACACACGCCCTTTCTTTAACATTAAATAACTCGTCAAAAACAACCATATCAGAATGATTAATATAAGAGCAAACCTCACACTTTGTCCCCCAAAATTTGTACCTGTCATCTGTTTCAATGAGAGGTGATCATCAGTCTTTCTGAAATGTAATTCACCATGCCGTCATTTTATACAACACGTTCTGCTCTGCTCTGAAATAACTCGAGAAATGGGTTGAATATTGGTTCAAACACGCAGTTTATGCAGAATGTTTTTACAATTTAAATCCAGCACCAATAACCAAAGCTGAAACTAAGAACGAAGATCAATGAGGGTAAAAACCAAACATTCATCAGCATCAGCGGTTAAACATGGACCATTTGTTGCTTTGAATAATTTCACTTTTTCATAATGAGAGGCACAAACTGGGGTTTGCAGAGTGCTTTGGAAAATGTTTTGGTTGTAGTTTAGTTGCAGTCCAATAGCCTCTCGTAACCTGGCTCCAGTTAAGGAAGATCTAGGCAGGCTGTGACCTGTGCATAAATAAAGTAACATACAAATAACCATTTCCTGGATGGAGCCACTTTATTTCTTCATCACTGGAGCCAAATACTTTCCTCAGGATGATGTAGAGATACAGAGAGTATTCATAAAGCTCACAATTTAGGATTTAAATCATCCATCCATCTTCTTAAGACACTTGGCCACTTCATTCCTACATGCCATCAGGAAATTAAGCTCATTGGAACAAGTTAATTTGAAAACCACTGACATTTTTCAGAAATTTGATTTGAATGGCTGCCACTAAACTCGGAATGAATACAAGCATCTCCTCATCCTCCTCATGATCCAAACGCTTGACATAACCAATGAGAGTGAAGGAAAGAAAAAACAATCTGTTGTAAGGGACAAAAGTTTATTGTAACCCTACAAAAGACACAGGGTGAGAGAAAAAAAACCAAAAAAAATGAAAAACAAACCAAAAGAAAAGCTTCTCGTTCTCATACAAGTGTCAGAACTATCCATCATACACGGACCACAGTTTAATGATTCTGATTTTTAATATAACATTTGTCGTAATGCGTTGTGTACATACAAAATATAGCAAACTAAATAAGGCAAATAAATAGAGGTACAATTTACAGGAAAATGGAACATTCCTCATGTTTTCATCTTTTTTTTAATCTTAACTCAAACATCAACAAACGTGTACAAAATGCTTCTTTTTTTTTTATTTCTCCAACTGTATATCTTTCAGGTGGAGGATACGTTTTTCTTTTTCTTCCAAACATGAAAATACTGACTCCTCACAATTATACAAGCTCGAAGAACGGGTGCAACTTTTCTCAGGCAGTACAGGCTGTGGTTTAACAGGTGTGTTTCAGTTTGCAAGCAGTTTTCTACGAAAGGAGAAACAATTCACACTTTGTGCACCCATCTTTAGGCATGCAGCTCAACGCCATGTAATGACAGAAATGTGGTATTGACATAAAATACCCCACCCACAACCGCCCCCCAATCCCTCTTTTTAAATGTTTTTCCTCCAGACTCACCAAACCAGGAGACAGGACCTGCTCTGTACCACAGTCGCCTCTTAGTTTCCCCACAAATCCCATCTCTGCCATTCAACAGACTCTTAAAGTGTTCCAAGCGGCCCAGCCGGAGTACTCAGCCTCACTTTCCTCCCTTTCCTATAAACACCATCTTTAATTTCTTCTTCTTTTAAATTTTTTATTTTTATTTTGCACCACACTTTTGTTGCACCCTTCTAGTTTCTTGAGGGACCTCAGCCCTCGCTGCAAATGGAAATGTCCCATCATCAAAGTGCATTGAAACAAGCTACTTATTTCCATCTTTACACTCAAAACAAAACAAAAAAAAATTCATCAGCCAGTCAATGGCCAAATAGACATCCAACCATGTAGCAACACAAAGGTTTTAATACTGACAATACCCCTCAGGAAATAGTCTGCACTACAACACGGGTTAAAGCTCTGAATGAAGGGTTTAAAGAATCTGATGAAGTATAACTCAAAAAGGATCAGACGCTAGAAAACAAAAGGACTAAAATATACACAAGATGCTGGTTTATTGAGAGAAAATCAAGTAATTTCCTCTTTTTAAATTTTAAAAGTGTCTGAAAGTTTTAAGTGATTTTGGTTCACTAGTTAATCTCTGGGATACAATTTCTGTCTCACGTTATGTTTTTTTAACCTCACGGCAGCTTCTCTCTGCTTCAGAGGGGAAATGAAGAAAATGAACTAAAAGTGTGGAAGAACTCATATAAAAGGAAGTGAGTGAGTTTAGCTGTGCACAGGTAACACATAACCCCAAACCGGTTTTTGACAGGTTGTGAGGTCAGTGAAGTGCATTATAATCGGCCACAAGATGGCGCCATATCCCTACCAAATTCTGTAAGTTTGCTTTGGAAGCCAAAAATACAAATGTGAAAACAGGATGAGAGGCACTTAAAACTGAACATTTACACAACAAAGAACAGAAAAACTCCAGAAAGGACAAACTGGGGAAGTCGCTGTTAGAAATACAAACATGGTGGGTCGAGACCTCTCTTCTGACTCTGAATGAATGTGATGGTTAACAAGTAAATGTATGCTTGATGTTGACTTTACACCCTACGATTAGAGCCGTCTCTGTGTGAACACATTCTGCAGCGAAGCTGAAGCCAAAACCAAACCAACGCGGTGCCCAAAACTGCAATTCCTTTAATGGCCACTGGAGGCTAGCTCCAAAAGTGAGTCAATCTCCATAAGACTCCCATGTTAAAATGACCAGCTTAAAGCAAAAATAAACATAGTTTTGGTCTTTTTAGCCACTTTCCTACTTTATAACAATTTTGTTTGTGTAACTCCCCCATTTAAACATTATTAAAGTTAAACATATAATTACTATCAGGTCCGTGGCCTCTTTTACTGACAGATGTCTTGCAGGCTTCATCTCCGGAAACTAGAGACATTGATTGGTGTCTGGTTAAACGCATACAGACTATCTGTGCTCCAGTTTTCACAACTAGTTAAATTCTAGTACTTCCTCTGAATGTTACTTAGCAGACACAGATAACTGCTAATTAAAGCAAATGTTAGCTAAAAAAATTAGCACTCCACCTTCTCATCCAAATATGGTCACTTCTGGTCCAAAAAGTAAAAAACAAAACAAAACAAAAAAAAACCCCTAAAAGAACAAAACAAAATGGAAAAACAAAAAACAAGCAAAAGAACAAGATGGCTTTATAATGGGACTTCAAAAACCAATGAGTGACATCATAGATGCTACATCCATCTTTTAATACAGTCTATGTGCACTGCTATATATATTTTTGTTTTCAAAAAGAATCAGATGTTAATACTGATTACACTACAGCCTCACTCCTACTGCTCTGAATACTTCAAATACCTTATAAAAAGGAGGTTGGCTTCCCTTTGTGGGCTTGATTTGACTGACTTGATTGACAAGCTGGAGAAAAAGATGAAAGTACAAATTCTTTTCTATGACGTGCGCTGATGTTTTTTTCCTGTGTGTGTCCCACCTACCCTCTTTAAGTGTTTTGTTGTACCCTGACATGACAATGAGAGATTCATCACATGGTGCGATGTGACTCTACCACGGAAAAAGCTGAAAATTAAAAAAGAAAGCAGAGAGAGATACTGAATAGAGTGAGAATTTAACCTTACTGCAGTAAAGAAACTGCAGCTTGTGCCTTTAAATTAATTTCATGGCATTCCTTCATTATGTTAGTTACAGATAATCTGACAACATACAGGACGCTGTCATTGGCTTGTGGACTTCTGAGTGTAAAGTTTACAAAAAAAGCTGCAGCGCAAACAAGACGTACAGATGTGAAAAGTGTGAGCGATTACCTCTTTTTTTTTTTCTTTTTTTTACATAAAGCGCAAAATGTATAGAAATTCACTTCAACGCCAACTTGCAACACCAACAAATAATGCATTGCGTGTACAAAAATCCCAAAACATAAAAAAAGACCTCTTTGCAATTAGCTTGTCTGCATCTAAATATAAATATATATCAATGCCTAATTGCAGTATGTTTTGTATTAATACATTTACATTAGTTTTCTCTTTCCTTTGGCACTGTTAATGCCAGAACGATGTTGGTCAGAGTGAAGGGGAGGCCTGACCCATGTGGCACAGTCATGTTTTAAATCAGGTGGATCAGGCTGAGAAGTTTCCTTGAGAAGAGCTGAGCACATCGGGATAGACACGTCCTTCCCGGAGAATGTTGGTATGAATCTGGATCCTTCTTCACTCTTTCAGAAGCCTACAAATCATTCTGGGACGTGTCGAGTCCTTGACTTTCTGTGGTTGAGAAGTCTCTTTTCTGGGGAACACCTGATGGTCGAGGTTATTGTTTAGTTCCCTTCAGCTTCTTTTTTCCCAAATCTGCCTGGAGACGCTTCATAGTCCTTTTACCAATCCTTTGTCTTTGCCTCGTGACTATATACAATGTGACTGTCCGATCCCAATGTTCTGTGTGCTTTAAAGCCCAGTAGTTAAATGACGGGGCTTTTTCAGCACCGGAGAGCTTGCAGAGGATGTGTGAATGGGGGAGAAAAGTGAAAAAGACTGGGGTGATAGAAAGTGAGAGCCTTGAGCACAGTGTTAAAGGATATGGTCAAATGACATGGGCTAATGTGTCACAGTGGTGTGTCCACTTGTCCATCCTGGTAACATCCAGAACAGACGGAGTGGAAATAGCTTTACAAGACCAATCAGAGGAGAGCGCTGCATCCTTCAACACGGCTCGGCCGTTCTTGCAAGTCCAATCCAGCCGTTATTTACATCCTCTCCAATGTCAGCGGTCACTGTCCCACAACCTGGACTAAAGGTGTTAAAAGCTCAACGCAATGGCAGATTTAAGGTGGGTTTTTTTTTCTTCCTGTTCCCTGACCTAGTAGTTAACCTTGGTGACGGTTCTTTCCCGGCCGCCACCCTCTGCCAGCTGATTGACAGAGCGTTTGCGATTTCGCTTGAACTTGTTCAGGTCTTTGTCGAAGACTTCGCCGGAGCGCAAAGCTGAAACCAGGTCGTCAAACTCCCCGCCGACTTCTTCCGTGGTGCCGCTCTTTTTGGCCCGTCGTTCCCGCTCCCGTTGATCCTTAAGCTGGTTAGGAATAGAATACAGAGTTATTGGGAAAAAAATTATTAACTGTCATCACTACCTCAGGTGTGTTCTCTGCTTGTGTGTCTCACCATCGCCTCCATCCGGGCCCTCCGCTCCTCCTCATCCTTGCGTCGCTGCATGTTCTCGAGGTCCTGTCGTGCTTCGGTGAACGACTGCAAGAAGGTGTCGAAGATCCCGAAAAACTCATCCGGCTGCATTCTCCCTTCTTCCTCCCCAAAGTGCTTCAGAGATTTGGCAAACTGCACAAAGCACATATACCGTCATTAATAAACAATTTTAAACACACTGAAACCAAATGCGTCATTATACAGGCGGGACATGAGCTTATGAGCCTGCTCTTCAAATTCCTCTACTGCCATTCATGCTGGAAATTAACACACACACATACACGAGTAAGAAATGACTGCATGATTTGACCACCGTATGTCCACCCAGTTCTGTTCAAGCTGTTCGGTGCTCTGCGCCAGGACAAGGCCTGCGGCCAAACACGCTCTACATTCCCACACTGAGCTTTGTGCTGCAGTACTACAGACCACTACACGCACACACATACACACAGGCCCAGCCACAGTACTAAAACACAACAAGATACAATCCGTACTGCGCAGAGGCCATGGTTTGAGGCAGATACTAGCAACACATCTGACCAGTTTTGCAAAAATAATGTGCGATAGATTATTTTTGGAAAAATTTGGATTTCATAAAG